GAGGAGGCGGAGGGGGGGGAGGGTGCTGTTTACGTCGGCCTTTGTCCTCGCGGGACGCACGCCCCTGGTTTGTTAATGTCGCCGAGGGAGCTGCGGAGCACCACCGTGCGAGTTCATGACTCGAGTCATGACTCCTCCCACCCGCAGCCACCAGCCCGCCGCCGCCGGAGTGTGGGCCGGGGTCCTTAAACTGAGGCACGGGAGGTCACCGCGCGGCGGACCACCGCCCGACCGGCCGGCCAGCCTGCCGTGTCCACTTTACACTCCTCGATCACCGTCAACAACCTCGTCACCCGCTGCACCACGGCTTTGAACACAACCAACAACCACCATCGGCCGAGCCGAAATAACCATGAAGTGAAGAGGCAGCACTATACGTTGAGAGATTTGCAACTTCTTTTCAAAGTTGTGATTGGCTTCGCTGACTGTTTTTCACGGATTACTTGTGGGGGCTGGTCGACAGCGAAGCCTGTTGTTGTACCCTAGTGATCAAAACGTTTGACCTATTACTGGGCAAGTAAGACTCACTGAATGGGTTATTACAAAAATAAAACAAATAAAAATTAATAAAATGTCAAAGAAAATGTATGATGAATCGGGCTCGGAACTCAGTCATGGAAGGAAGCCTAGAAAGCAATTGATATTTACTACCGACTCTAGCCCCACCGCCGAGGGGTGGATAACTCCTAAATTAGGTGTACAAATTTCAAGAATTAAATTTGAATTAGCTTGAATTGGCTTGAATTGAATTTGAATTGGACTGAATTGGTTGAATTAGTTTTGAATTGGTTGGAATTATTGCGATTTTATGTTACTGAATTAGCGTGAATTGGCTTGAATTGACTTGAATTGACTGAACATTGTCTTGAATTGGACTGAATTAGTTGAATTAGTTTTGAATTTGTTTGAATTAAATTGAATTGGTCTGAATTAGTTTGAATTGGGCAGAATTAGGGGTGTACACTTGGCAGGGGAGTTATCCACCCCTCGCCCACCGCCCTTTTGAAACAAAATAGTACATTTTGAGTTTCGGTCCTTGGTATTAACAGAAACCACGGAAGCCCCATTCAAAAGAAGAAGAAAATCACATAGTAGCGGGAGCATGATACACCCTAGCTAAATAATAGTCAGGACAGATACTGCATTAGAGTAGAAACTGTGAGTCTAAGGTCCAGCTTCTTGAGATCACTCTTCTTTCCCTTTTTTTGAAAATTTAGAAATAGAGAAGCAGCTCGCAAACGACAATATTACGTGTTCATGGAGTATCCTCCAAGTTTAAAAAGGATTTTAGTTCAGATTTTATGTTTGACCATGGGCCACAACAACCACATCGTCATCGGCCGATTCGTTGCCACAATATTTCGTAGGTCGTCACGCGGACACGGCGCGGCGTTACATCCGGCTGCCCCCACCCCTCCCCCTCTCTCTCTTTCTGGTCCAGCGGCTCGTCCTCCAGCCTCCTCGACGATCACCGCCCGCGGCGCCGCCGGGGCTTTGAGGAGGCTGAGCCGCCGTGGACTCGTGAGCACCAAAGTGCCAAACGCCAACCAAACCACGCGGCGCCGCGGCAACGTCCCTCCCCGCCCCTATCCGGTCCCTCCCGGTCGCGTCCCGTCGCGTAACAAACAATGGCGCACGCCGCTCGGTCACCTGACGCAACTGCCTGGGCGGGCGCACGGAGCACGGAGCACAGCGCACGGCAAAGGGCATTCAGGCAGAAGAGCGCAGAGAGCACGGCGCCTGCGGGCGGTCAGGTAGGCCACCCGCTCAGTGCGCCGGTGTGGCGGGTCTGCCTACACTCCGTCAGCACGGCGCCTGCGGGCGGTCAGGTAGCACACCCGCTCAGTGCGCCGGGGGGGCGGGCCTGCCAACACTCCGGCAGCACGGCGCCTGCGGGCGGTCAGGTAGGCCACCCGCTCAGTGCGCCGTTGCTGCGGGTCTGCCTACATTCCGGCAGCACGGCGCCTGCGGGCGGTCAGGTAGGCCACCCGCTCAGTGCGCCGGTGCGGCGGGCCTACTCACCGGCAGCACGGCGCTCTAATAACCCCTCTGGATACACGGGGGCGGCCCGGCCGCCATGGGACCTCTATTTGCGTCTGGATTCACTGCTCCTCTCCCACCCCCTCGTATTATTTACGAGACCGTTGCATAGATGAGAGTAACGGAGAGTAATGAGCCTCGATATAAAAGAGAGGTGCGGGGGAGGAGAGGAGTGGAGAGCCTGCGTGCCGAAGCTGGGCCGGGCGGGGCAGCGAGCGGACTCTGTGCATTGTCGTATTATTTTCAATGCGGCCCACTCCGACGCCCACGGATCCCCTTACCGCCGACGACCACTCATGCCTTGCCTTCGTCCTGTGGCGCGGCGTGGCGGGGAGCAGACCGCACGGGTTTGGTCGGGATATTGGCTCTGTCCGAACAAACACACCAATCACTCTGTCACTGTTTGGGGCGGGGCTCGCTTGTTGTCGCCATGTGCGCGCGGCGCGCTCCGTGTATGTGAGGAAATGTTGAGTGAATCATATACGGGCAAACAACAGTAAACGTACATTAAACGAACACGCTGAATGCATGATGGCGGCACGTACCAGCAGGCCGGGCGCACGGACGGTCGGACGTACGGTCGGGCGGTCGGCGGATATGAATGGGTAGGCGAGTTAATGAATGAATTTCTCATTGGAACGGCCAGAGAGGCGCCTCTCCTACAACTGTAATCCCGCACAGCAGTCCCGCGCCCGGGACGCGGCGCTGAGTTCCCAGGGGCCCCACGGACTGCATTGGAAAGCGCACGGACCGCTGTGTGAATCCCATCTCATCCCGCCTCGGCCGCCGGTGTCGCTCCGGACATCTGCTCCGGACATCTGCCCCGACCCCGTCGCGGCGGCAGCGGCGGCAGCTCTCATTATTGTTATTATTATTGCCATTACTTTATCGCTGGACCGGATGGCGGATGAAGCTTGGCGGCGCCACGCCGCGCCACGCCGGTGTGCTCCAGTGACCTCCAGCGACACCCCGCCACGCCACGCCACGCCACGCCACGCCACGCCACGCCACGCCGCGCCACGCCGCGCCACGCCGCGCCACGCTTCGTCGTCCATTCATTAAATAAGGGCGCGGGTCCGTTCCCGCGGAGGTGGCTCGCCTTACACAGTTATTATTGATTTACATAGCGCCGCGTGGCGTGGCGTAGCGTGGCGAGGCGTGGTGGCTCCGCTGCGCTTGCCTTGTGAGGAGGGGTGGGGGCTGGCGGTACGTCGTAGAGGCTGCAAAAAGCAGGAGGTGCGCCCTTCGCCGTTCTGCCGGCCCTGCCAGAGCTAAAACCGCGGGCCGGGCCGGGCGGTCCAGAGGCAGGTGAGGCTCAAAGAGCGCCGGCGGTAGGGAGGGCCGCCTGCCGCCGACCCCCGCAGAGGTCTCACAAGGTGCTCGCCGGCGCCCGCACTGGTTCCATAACGGCGCTCGCTTGCCGTGCTCTGCGCGCCCTACCGCTACCCGCGCGCGGCTACAAAACATGTGAATGAAACACGAAACGAATGTCAATGCCGCGGCGGCGGCGGGAGCCCGAACAATGGCGGCATCATTACGAGTTATTAACCGTGCCGACCGTGCCGCTCCAATTGATGGATCGGAAACGGAAGCAAGAGAGGTGTTGTTGCTGTGGGTCTTTTTACTTCATTTTTCCTTGCCACTGCACCGGCGTTCTTTGTTAAAGATGTGTTGTTTATGTTGTGGCGTTTCGTAGAATGGACGCGGAGTTGGGAGTTCCGAGCCATGCACCACCACCTACGCGCCGCTGCCCTAGTGCGTGGCGAGGCGAAGTAGAGCGCACTCGCCTCGAGTAGTGCAGCGTGTGCGTGCGTGTGAGGAGGGGGGGGAGGGGGGGCAGGGAAACTTTTTGCCACTTCAACCCGTTTCCAGCCCCATTAATCACGCTCGCCGGCGCCGCCGTCCGCGCCGCCGCGATCATTTTCTCATTCTAATTTATCTTCTCTTTCCAAAGTTATTGCTGCCAAAGCGGTGTGAACGAGTGGAGAGGTTTCTCTGTCGTGGCGCGGCGGCCTGTAAGGGGAGCACCTCTCCTCTGGCGGACGAGGGTCTCGACGTGGTCGGCGGCGGACGAGGCACAGTAGTGTGGTCGCCGGCGCGGCGGCGGTCGCCGGGGTGGCGCGGGGCAGAGAGCAGGGAGTGTGGCGTGGTGCACGCGAAGGCGAAATGGGCAGCGGCAGCGGCAGCCGCGAAGGGGACGGGACAGCAGACAAGTTAGTTGTGCAACAAGACGCATGGTTAACTGGGCAGTGTCTGATTGAAAAGGAGTCGGGCAGGGCGGTGGCGGTGCGGGCGGCGCGGCGAGCAAGTGCACAGCGAGAGGCTCCTTGTTCTGCATGGCACGGCATGGCGGCGCGATCCGACCAGCGGCGCCACGCTCGTTACTCCAGGATCACTCCGAGGGCCGTAGGGCTTATGTCTTGTCAAGGTCTCAACATCGCGTCGTCGGCGTCAGTCGCTAAGTGCATTTTTTTTCTCGCCCTAACATTGCGACGCGGCCATGGGCTGCCGCGGGGTAGCTTAAAAGCGGTAGTAGCTGCCTTGAAATTGAAAATAAAACAGCGCCAGACGCTTCGAATGTTGCGGCGTGGACTCGTTCTGCGACAGGTCCTTTCATTTTCAAGGAGGTCCTGACAGCTCCACGGCCGGGCAGGGGCCGGGTAGGGCGGGCGGGGCTCTTGCTTGAGGAAGTGAAGCCCTCTATCGTGACCTGCGCTGCGCTGCGGTCCTCCTTCCTCCACCCGCCTTCCGCTCTCCTTTCCGACCGCTGGGCACCGTGATCTAGATAATGAGCTCTCGCGGAGCTCTCCACGCCCCCAACCCGACAACCCGCGTCCTGTCAACAAAGATCCTCCTCAGTTTTTTTCGGAAAGGGAGGGGGCCTGATTGCTCAGACGTCTAATTTTCGTTTACTACATTTGCGAGCAACAACTAAAACTACTACTGCTTTCTCGTTCCAGAGCGGACCATGGCTCGCAACATGTCCTCGTCGGACCGCAGTATCCCTCACCTGAGGGACATCTTCTGGAGTGGAGGCCCGGCCCCCGGGGGCGGCCAGGTCGGCGCCCACCCCCAGCCCGCGGCCCCCGCGGCCCCCGGCCGCACCGAGTGGCGGGTCACACCGCGCCATGACGACATGAGCGAGCTCACCTACCAGTTCCAGGGCGACGCCAGGATCTCCAGTAGGGCGGTGAAAGGTACTGCCCAGACCCGGGCTGCGCGGGGTGGTTTGGGGTTCTGGCGACTAATCCGGTTCTTGTTCTGTTCGTCTCAGGCGGTGGCAAGGACCAGCACAGCAACTACCACCACAACGGCAGCAGCCATCACCACGGCAAACAGTCGGCGAACAACGACCTGGGCAACGATAGCGCCATCTCGGTGGGCTCCACGTCGGAAGATGAGCATCAGGCCGCGCCCACCAACAAGAAGAAGAGCAAGAAATCCCGCGCCAGGGACAACGCGCGCACGCTCACCGAGCGCGACGTCAAGCACCTAGAGCGGCACCTGTCCATGAAGAAGACGATCCGGAAGAAGATCATGCGCGACCTGCAGCAGGCCTTCGTTGAAGACCCCACCGAGTTCCGCGTCGAGGACATCAACAGCCACGAGCAGCTGATCCAGAGTCTCAGTTTCGGCACGCCGTCCCGATACGCGCAACGCCACACCAGCCGCGAGTCCAACTTCCTGGACATGCTCCGCGCTAACGACCAGGGCAGCGCCCAGGGCGGGCTACAGGCCGCCAGTGCGTGCACGCCCTGCCCGCCCTGCGCGCCGGCCGCACGCCGTGGGGGCGGTGGCTGTGACGACCAGGACTCGGGCCACGGCTCGCCAAGAGGCTCGCCGACCAGGGACTTGTCTGCGGACCGGGGAATGCCGCCCTCGGTCGCCTCCCAGCAGCAGCATCTCGATGAATATGACGACGGCACTCTCCCAGAGACGGACTCGTCCGGGAAGAAGACCAGCTTTTGGAGGCGTTTCACCATGAAGGGGAAGAGTAAGCGATGAGCGAGGGCAGCACGAGGACCGCTTGGCGCTCCTCCAACTATAGATCAATACAAACTACATTGAGTTCGGAATGATAAATGATTGTGTTGCTCTTGTACAACGAATCTGTAAATGATTGCTTTATCTAAGTTTGTTTTTGTCTAATGGGCTGAGGTGTTTGTAGCAATGTTATGAGTCGATTGCAAGCTGAAATGGCATTAACTTGTCGAAAGAGCAAACACTCCTTGAACTCAACATCTTTGTGATACTTTAATGTAACTCTACTCTACAGGTCTGCTCAGATAGCAGATCAGAATTTTGAAATATAATGGAGGTATTAATATTTTACTTTTTGTCAAATAGATGACCTACTGTAGTAGATGTATCTAGGATTCAGCTTATAGGTAACTATCCTATTCAGTTGTAAACTTTGTCTTTTCTGTTTGGATTTTTATTTAATATAGAGATATTTTGTAGGCAGACTGCTTGTAAAAAAGTAAATAAACTAAATTTATAGTGTGGATAGATTGAGGCTAGTAAACATGCAACTAATAGCCAATACAAGGATTGAAGTTCATTTAGCTTTCATAGTTTATTTATACACACTAGACATGCTGTTTGAGGTAAATTTGGTCAGTAAAAGAATGAGCTGCCTTCTAAACTTCTATTTTGAAAAATAAGAATTGAAAGCAAGCCTGAACTTCCTTCATCTGTTCTGTTCTCTGTCAAATAATGCTGTTCAATAGGTGAACTACCTTCTTTTGATTTTTTAAGAGCTCCTAGTGTACAATGAATTAAGATATGATACAAGGAAAAATTGAATTAATAAAATTTGATACACATTTTTTTTTAACTATTTATCAATTCTCAAACATCTATCGTATAAAACCGTACATAAACACAAAATAAATCACAAAGCTTAAAATATCACAATATGAGTAATTAGGCGAGCCCCTCTTTAGTTTTAAATGCAGACAGTTCACTCATTAGTTGTTTCTTCTCATCAGTAGAAGCAAATGATGCATGGATTGCCATTTCAATACAGTGACACAGCTCCAAAGCAGATAAATTAAAGGTTTTGGCAGCTAATTCAAATTCTTTGGAAAGAGTTGTGGAAAACACACCCTTGTCATCAGTCTGAAAAATTGTTGTGCAAATATAAGAAACATTATGCGAGTATTATAGAAAGCAAAACAAATCAATGACAAATCAGTCAGAAAATTCTCACCGATATTGCAAATGGATGTTGGAGCTGTAGTAAATGCTGAAGGTGATGATTCTCATAACTCTCCACAGTCTTACACTTCACATTAGATGTGAGGCAAACCTCTAAAGTTCAATAATAAGGAAACAGAAAATTACTATAAGCATCAGCCACTAATACACAGTCATGAGGGAAAAAATGTATTCTTACCCAAAGGTGTTTTAGAATCTAGAAATAGTTTCCACAACCTTTCAGTACCACCATGACTTGGGTGAACACATGTGCCATGACCAAGACGATCTGCGTTGTATTTCAGCATTTCCTCAACTTCATATTCATTTGGAATCTGAAAAGTTAAACAGAGGTAAAAAAAATCAATTCAGTCCTCAGAGTGATTGATTGGTAAAAACGTAAACTTACCTCTGCACAGTGTAAAGCAATTTTCAGGCCTGATATACGAGCTTGAGTGAAGAGAGGTAAAATATCTTGTACAACGTTTCCACATTTTGGGTTTCCACTCAGATCCACGCCCACAACTATGTCTGGGTGCGCAGCATTAGCTACAATTGCTTCCCTGATATTCTCTTCTGCTTCTGCTGGACTTTCTCGACGATTCACAGACAGGAGTAATTTTACAACAATAAATTTATTAGGACCAATGAATGACGGCACATCCCTAAGAAACAGAAGCAATATAAATAAGTGAATACAATTTTTAAACAGAATTCTAAATGTAGGATGAGTAATGTAGCCTGTAGCGATGTTAAACATACTTAATGGTATCAACAACAGCCTGAATATACTCCCTCTTGGACATGACCCCTGGCACAGAACGTGGTGTTGTCCGGATTTCCAGATAAGCCACGCCATCAGCAGCAAAGTCAGATATGACATCTTTGGTGGCTTTCTTTACAGCTGCAGGATTAATAGTTACCGCATGAGCAATATCAAATTTTTTGAAACACCTAAAATTGTAACCAGTAATATTAAATTAGCAGTTGTTTAATTCACCATATTGTGTGATAATCTGAAGAAAGTAACACAACCTACTCTTCCAGAGACCGGTTTTTAAGATGAAAAGAGGATATCAATGCATTTATCTTTTCATCAGAACTCAAGTCTGGATTTTCCATGCACAAGACACGCAGGGTATCCTCACTTAATGATCCATTTAGGTGTGCGTGCAGCTCCTGAAGAGAATTGAAAGAATGAACTAAAGAAAGAACGAAAGAACGATAACAAACAAATGCCAACTGGTTGACAAGCTGTTTGAAGTTTGAGGTTAACCTCAGTTATTTGTCACTTCAACAGAAAAAGCAGTATGAAACGTATATTAAAGCAATCATCAATCTGAAAAGAACCGACAACTAAATGTAAATACTGACAACTTTGGGAAGACGCAAACAAAATGATTCCACATCAGAAGTGTCCATTTCGGAATGGTCGTCCAGAAAATGTGTTTAAAGTAAAGCGCCGGTGTCAGTTTCAGGCCAGTACCCCACAAAATTCGGAGCACAGTTTTACAAAGCTTGAAAGTACCAAAAAGTTAGTCCACTGGGCACACAATTAAAATTAAAAACTTTAACGATATACGAATATCGTGAGTAAAAGAATTTATTTTATTTTAAACGGTTATTTTTTGGAATATCTTTAACTTTTGGGGGTTGGCCATTCTACATCTAAGCATATCATAGATTTTTCATACTGGTGCTGCTATCCTGCCCGCAGATAGGAGTGCGAAGCGAAGAGTTGGAGAAATTTGACCCTGCAAACATCCATCCAACCCAAAACAAACAAACTCACAGCTGATTTTCTTGGACTTCGGAGTAAAACTGACAGACTCGATTGAGTACTTTGGAATGTGAAAGACACCCAGTCTTAAGGGTTGTGTTCGTGTTTCCCTAAAAAGATAGGGTGGAGGTAATTTAACATGCTAAATTTAGCTCAAGCAGTATATTATTTTAGAGGTGTTTGGGTATTGTGTTTCTTATTACTTTCTAACCAACTATAAAAACGCAAAAGACATTGAATAATCTTTACGCACCCTTATCTAATTTTTATTTTAGAGGCCATAAAATGGATGTCAGTACAGCAAAATTGGCGGCTCTTTGGAGCTTACTGCTTCTAACGTTGATTTTCTGTATGCTGCCGATATGGCTGTTGTGGTCTGTTAGACATACTGTTGACCAGGCACGAAAAGCAAAGTAAGAAGCATTCCTTGCAAAATAAATGTAAAATTTACTCTAATGAATAAGTAACGTTAACTGTGTCTGTGTTGTAGGTATGCCCGAGTTGTCAGCTTGCTAAGCTGCTTTGCGGGTGGAGTATTCATGGCAACTGGCCTACTTCATTTATTTCCTGAAGTTGATGAGGCACTTAACAAGGTAATTATAAAACATATTACTTTAGTCTTAATATTAGATATATAAGTATTATGAATCTTAAAATGTTCTTTTCTATCTCTTAGGCTTCTTGGGGTCATGGCTTTCCTGTGGCTGGTTTTCTTACCGCCTTTGGGTTTTTCCTTGTTCTTACAATGGAACAAATTGTTCTTGATTACAAGGAAAGTGCGAATGTCAGAGATATATCTCACAACAGAGTAAGTGTCCCTCTGTGATCACTTTAAATTTAAGTTTTAGTTTTAATAATATTGATTTAATTAAATATTTTTCTATAGTCTAGCGAAGAAGACAGTGATGTTAATCAAGTCAGGCGACGGGGAGGCTCAGTTGTTGGTGTGAGAGATCACCCCCTCACAACCAGTATTGATGGCCGCTCCCTTGATTCGGTGGCTTCAGTTGATGCAGACCCTCACTCAACATTCCGTTCAGTTCTGCTCACTGCAGCACTATCACTACACTCAGTATTTGAAGGCTTAGCAATTGGTCTACAGCCTGATGTTGATAGTGTAATGCAGGTTGGTTCTGAAAACATGTTTTACTGTTCTTCAGAAAATTCATTGGGCACATTTTTCTTCAAATTTGAATGGCAGTATTCTGATTTTCTTTCTCTCTTTCTTTCAGTTCCTCTTAGCAGTTGGTCTTCACAAAGCAGTCATTGCATTTGGATTAGGCTTAAATTTGGCCCAAAGCAGGCTTTCCTTGTGGTCATGCATCAGGTCCAATCTCATATTTTCAGTAGCTTCACCTATAGGTATAGCTATTGGTCTGGGCATTGAAGATTTTGGCCATTCTGTTGATGAGTCTGCTGTCAATGGGATTCTTCAGGGGCTTGCCTGTGGAACATTTTTCTATGTAACCTTCTTTGAAGTTTTGCCTCATGAACTTAATCAAGGTATGTCCAAATCAATGCACAAAATGATAATTTATGCCAGTATTTAAAATTAATTTTGTGAAGTGGATGTCTATTCTAATTTATGTCTTTGTGTTCAGGTGGAGACCGTCTTCTGAAACTTCTTGCCATTCTTATTGGATTTTCTGTGATCTGTGGTGTGATGTTCCTGGATCCAGATGCTTCTCCAGATGGAGGGTCCTGCCCTCGAATCACTTAAGTACTGAAAATACTCATTTGAATATTCCCAAACTTTTGTCAATGTTTGAAGAAATATGTTTTGGTTTTGCTGTCATGACGTTTTGCCAGAGATACATTGTACTATAATCTAGACTGATATCATGTGATACATATTCCATTAAGAAGTGGTCTGACTTGGATTTGCCTATAAGTGGCACTTTGAAGTGGGATCGCTCTATCCTAATTTTTTATGAATATGAAACAAATTTGTAAATGTTTTCTACTAAAGGATTATATTATATAACTATCTTGAATCGAGACTCTGTGTTTCTCTGATATGATGATTGTCGGGACCGGAAGCGTAATAATCAAACTGGCACAAGAGGCCAATGAGGGTGGCGCGGCGTGCGGCAGGGAAGACCACACCGCCACACTGCCCGGCCCGGCCCGGCCCGGCCGCCGAACCAAAATACCAAATCCATTAGCCGCACCGACAGTCGGTCCATTGAGGGGAGGAGACGGAGGGCGGCGCGGGGCGGCCCGCCCAAGGTGGCCCGAGGGGCGCAAGTTGAATACACGGCGGCCGAGGGCCGAGTGTTTGGAGGACTAGTAGACGGGTAACGTGTGTGTTTGTGGATGGGGGAGTGGCGGAGGGAATGCCGCATCCAGCTCAACTCCTCTGCTGCCAGGCGTGAGGAGCGCGAGGGTATTCAAGTCCGGATTTACTGCAGATTTACTACAGGGAAACAACGACGAGTGACTTGTCCTGAACTCGTTATATTTTTCGCTACCGGAAAATGGGTGCGAAAGGAGACCTTGAACGAGATATCTGAGTTGCAGGTGTTAAGCGGCCGCGGCCTTCCCCCGTCCCTCCCCCCTCCCCCTCCCCGTCTATTTCCAAAGGAACCATTTGAACCACCCACCGTGACTGTTATCGGGGATGTATTATTTTAAAGCAGTCGACGGAAGCCGAAACAGCTGCCGTTTGTTTCGACTGCGCGGCAGCAAAGAAAGAGAACAGAGACACATGTGCCACACACATCGACGGGCTGGTGCTGATGCTGCCCCCTTCCTGGGCGGGTGATGGGTCTCGACAAGCAGTTAGCACATTGGGCCACCAGTGTTTGTGTTGGGTAACCTCAAAGCGACTCGTCTCGACTAGACCTCCCGCTCACCCTCCGCCGTGTACGCCTTAATACGCCCGCTAAACGCTAGGGAAGAGCCCCGCTTCAAAGTCAGAGAACTGCCGCGCGGGCAAGGGTGGGACGGGGTGGTCGGTCAGCTCTCTCTCACCACGGATACGAGTGCAACCGTCGATGCGGCAGAAGGGGCGGGGGCCTGTTCTTCACTTGTCGAGTCATTTGTGACACGAAGGATGACAGTGACCCGAGGAAGGTTGTCGAGGCTGGATGCGGACAAGGGTTGACGACCGCCGCACCCCTCCACCCTTCCCGTTCTTGTAGTGTGTATCGTTTGTTTGACCCTCGAAAAACAACCGACGACTATAAGGGGGCGATTTTTTCCCGGCATCACGCTGCCACACAACTACTAAGGGGAAGGCGGGGACCTTACTCAGTCCCTCCTCCCCGTGCTTACCCCGTGCCGTCGGGGCCCCGGCGAGTATCTCCTGCACGCTGTGCAACCCGATACACCGAAAGGCCCAAATCTGATCAATCACACCATCCACGCGTCACTGCGCCCCTAATGTCACTCTGCCGTCAGTGACGAGCATGGAGGATTCTTCCTCTATGGTGCCTGATTCCCCCCCCCCCCTTTTCTTAGGCCTACCCCACATGAGTCTCGAGCAGATCCCATAACGCCAGTAGCGGTCCTTCTTAACTCAAACCGCTTAATGTCGCCGCTCTCCGCCCAGCATGAGCGACCAGGTGACCTACACGGGGCCCGACCCACGTGTCTACATGTGTCCACGCGTGACCCCCCCCCCCCCGCACTGGCCGCCACGTGGCCGGCGCCTGCCCGGGGCCCCAGCGGGAGAAGGTGAATTACTTGGGTAACTTAATAAGAACACCCCCGCCCCGCCCCTAACCACTTGGCGAGGGGAGAAATGGTAATAAAACACCGGCGGCCACGAGAAACTCGCTTAGAGTAAAATGGAGAAGAAGATAAACATTGCGGGGCGGTGGTGCGCCGCCGGGGCGGGGGAGGGGAGGCGGGAGGGCCAGTGTCCCGAATAAACACACACTCAGATTGCCCCGCAGATATTCCGGGCCGAGCGGGAGTTCATCCGGGTGGCCACCTCCGCCAACATCACTCACCTCGCTCCTCGAGGCGTTTGTCGCGGCGGTACGTGCGCTGCATCTCGGACGTCATTTCCTCACAAATCCTGGCCAAGGGTGGAAAGTAGAGGCTGAGATAAAAATCCGCGTGGATACGGGCTGGAGGCGACAGCGCGTTGGTGTACCGGCTCGCCTCGTCGCTCTCCTGAGACAAACCCCAACCCCGCCCCTCCCCCGCTCGGCTCGGCGGCGGCAAGCGGATCCGTCAGCCAATGTTTACTTAGAATCAGTTTTCATTTGGCGCGAGCGCGCGGAGGGGTGGGGCGGGCGCCAAGGGGTGCAGCCGACGTGTGGGGCGGAGGGGAGGGTCTCAGAATGACACGTTTCCGCGCCTCACCTCACACACATCAAGCTTTTACCTCCGCCAGAGGGAACTCGAGAGTGGCGTGAGCGGGAGAAATGCGGCCTCCGCCCGCCGCCGCAAGGCCCCCCGCGCAGGCCGGTGCTCATGGGTATGCCTGTGCCAGCAGTGGAGAAGCAAAAAGAGGCACAACTCATCGCCATGCCCCCCTCATCGTCGAACAGTTGAACAACAAACCCGACCACTTCCCTGCCAAAATATCTTTAGCCGAGTCTCAAGTAATTGGCGGAGAAAACAGTGCGGTGGTGCGATCGCCGCCCCGGGGGGATTACACGGAGTACACAGAACAGAATAGGAGCGCCGAGCGCGTCCACGAGGTGTGGGTGTGGGCAGTGGGGGTGGGGGGGGGGAGGGGTTGCAGCCGTAGGGCAGCCACGTCTGTTGACTTGTCGGATGAAACTCCCCCGCAGCCTGCTCGCACCGGGTGGCGGAAAGAATGGCGAAGACGGTGACTACTGCCTGCCGGCCCTTGGAGGACCCTCCTCGGCAGAGATTTCTCCTGTCGTTGGGCACTCCCCGGGGGCCCTTGCTGTGTTTGCAGGCTGAAAGAGGGCTGCGCAGTACCTACACATTCCGGTGGCGAGTGAGTCCAGTGGTGCCAAACAAGAGGAAAGGGGTTATGGGTAAGAGATTATGCGAGCGCAGCATGTAAGTACAATAATGAAGAGGTATAATCGATTGATTGGCGATTTTACATGGCAGGTACAAGGTAACAAGTCGATGCTATTCACCGACCTGGTTTAAGATAAATCTTTGGCAGTAATATACACGGAATAAAATAAAAGACGGTATGTACAAAGCTGAGACCAAAAATATGCTCAACTCAACAAAATCTTAAACTCCGTAATTGAATAAATCTAAAAATTAATACCGAGGGTTATAAATAAGCGCTAAAATGTCACGTGTTTTCAAACGGATGCATCCTCAGACACTTTTTAGCGCTAATCGCCACGGTCGCCGTCAGCGACGAGGGCAACGGTGTTACCGGAATCAGTGGAGTCGTCCGGGGAGCGCCGCGACGGTGGCATCGTCCTCGTGCGGTGGTCGGCGAGGTGCTGGTGGGGGCCGGCGTGCACGTGCAGCCAGGACAAGTCGTGGCCGCCGCGGGGCTCGGCGCCGTGCTCGGGGGGTTGTGGGTGCTGGGCCGGCGGCGGCGCCAGGCACAGCGGAGGGGGCTGGAAGAACAGGCCGTGCGCCGAGTGCGCCCCCGGCGGCAGTGGCGGGCCGAGGGTGCCTCCCAGGGGCGGCAGCGCCAGCAGCAGGTCCGACGACGACGCGCACCACGGGCTGAGCAGGCGGCCGCCAACGCCCCCCATGCCACCCTGCCAAAGGAGCGGTCAACATGAAAGGAACGGCTGCGCGCAGGAGCACCCGGAAAAACAAACTGTGCTCTTGATTACGGCTTTGGTCAAGAAGTTTTACTTGCTTGGTATGAAGTTACAAGTTACAAAAGAGCGGATCAAGTGAAATATTCTAGAACGATACACAACGATCTTGTGCGAAGCCGATATCAAAATACCAGGTGGCTGATGCTGATTAACCCCGCGCACTTCTGTAGTTAGCCTGTACCGCACGCAGGGAGTGCGGGCGGGCTTGCCTATCGCCCCTGTCCACGGCGCCTTACGGGCCGGGCGAGTAGGCAACCCGCCCGCACTCGTGCGTGCGGTACAGTCTAAATAAAGAAGTGCGCGGGGTTAATCAGCCACCTGGTACAGTTGTCAATTACGTATTACATGTTTGCAAAACAACTAGGCCTACCTCCCCGCCTCTGCTGCTTACCTGATGGAATGGGAAGAGCATCGGGTGCCGCAGACTGAGCCCGCCCTGGTGCGCCATGGGGGGCGGCGGCGCCACCGGGGGCGGCAGGGGACGGAAGGCTGACCCCCGCGACGTCGCCGCGCTCTGCTGGGGCGGCGGGGTGGGTGCGCAGGTCGGTGGCGCTGCGGGTGGCGACTGCTGCGCCACGACCCTAGGGGAGGACGGCGGCCGGCGGGCGTCGTGCAGCTGGGTGGGCACGTCCTGGCCAGGCGCCACCGAGCCCACCGCGGACCCAGGCGCAAAGTGCTCGATGGCCCGGAGCAGGTCATCCTCGCAGCGCCGCAGCACCAGCTCCAGCACTGACCGCTTCTTGGTGGGGAAGAGCCGCGCCAGCAGGTCCAGGGAGGAGGCTGTGGGCGCGGGCCGCGCGGGGGCAGCAGGCGGCAGGGGCGGTGGGCTGGGAGCCGCGCTGGCGACACTGGGCAGCGCGAGGACGCGGTCAGCGACAACGGTCTTAGCGCGGGAACCTCAATGCACTACTGCCTCGCTGTGTCTCACCTGCTCCGGTTGCGGCTATGATCGCCTTGCTGCTCACCGGGCCCCTCCTCGTGCTCTGGGGCGCTGAGCTCGCTGTCGCGGTCCTCGGGCCGCCCGTCGCTGCCCTCACCTTCGGCGTCGTCCTCCTGTTCGTGGTTGGCGTTGTTGTTGGAATCAGCCGCTGCGGCGCCGCCTGCGCGAATCAGAAACAGTCGTCTTGGGCAAGAGAAAGACAGGGCGAGACTGGGGCGCCTCGGTGACGAGTGAGAAGGAGACATTGATCTTACCTTTAGGAGCGGTGATGGTCATGCCGAAGATGGGGCCCGGCGGGAGGAAGCCGTACTGCGTGCCGGTGGCCACGGCGGCCAGCCCCAGGGCGATGGCGTCCTCCGCCGCCTGCTGCCGCTTCAGCGCCACCTGCACCACACACACCTTTACTCTCCGGGCTGGGTTGGCTGCGGGGCTCCGGGTAGCCCGGCGCGCGACACTCCGGCGCGGCGAGCGGCCTACCCTCCCAGCGACAGGCGCACAGCCCCAGGCCGGGCCCATGAGCCGGTCTCACAACCTACCTGCGCCGCCATCACGCGCTGCCGCTCCGCGATGAGGTTGCACTTGGCGCACACGCAGCCCTTGAAGCGGCACTGCCGCTTGTGGCCCTTGAGCCACGAGATGATGCCGTGGTTGCGACAGCGCGCGCACTTGGGGCGCCGCGCGCCGCGCTCCGTCGTCGGGTAGGACGACCCGGGCGCGCGCAGCATCCTGGCGGAGGCGCAGGGAGGACGACGCCGAGGAGTCAGGCGGGTGGTGATGCCTCCCGCGTCGACGACGCGCTGGGCGTCTTCGTGCCGCTGTCAACGCTCTCCATCGTACCCTCGCGTTACGATGGCGATGATATCTTCAGCGCGATCCTGCGCGCAGCTCGATTTTTCTTAGAACATCACTAGGAGGCCCCTTCAGTGAATACGGGAGCACCGTAGACTACGCGTTCCTCGGGAAACTTAAACACGCGCGCACCCACTGTCGACTACCGACGACGCCGGTTGTTTCCTCTGCATTGTCTCGTTTCGCTGCAACAGCCACTGAGAGGGCCGTCCGTCCCGGCCGAGGGGGTTGCGGAGTGCCGGGGAGGTAGCCAGCTGCGGCCCAGCGGTGGGCAACACGGGGCAACTGTCACTCCAATGGTAGCCGCCGCTCCTCCCCGAGACCGCCCACGGCGCTCGCGCCCGCACTCGCCCTCTCTCTCCCGCTCCTCGCCAGGGGTGCGCGAGGGCCGCCCCTCTCTCTCTCGCTCCCAACCCCGGCGCCGCCGCCCTGCTCCGCCCCCGTGCCTCCCCCATTGGCTCCCCGAGACGTTGCGATTGGACGTTGCCTCGACGACCGAGGCTGGGCCGCGTCCCCATTGGCTGCCCCCCGCGCGAGCAGGATGCGCCCCGAGATAAACAAGCGGGCTGCGTCCGGGGCGCCCTGGGCCTTCCCTCCTCGTCGCGGCCGGCGAGCCAGCCCAGCCGACGCTTTCTGACGCGCCCGGCCCAGCCCGCTGTGGGCTCGGGACTGATCCCGTTACACTGATTGCTTATGTAGATGTGCCGGCCCATCTATCATTGGGAGAAAGGCGGTAATGTATGCTCGGCCCGCGCGGTGTCGTTTACCGTTTTTGTTTGCCAGTCAATAAAAGTCAATTGATTTCTTATTTGCACTTCCTAATAGTCGGCGCGGGCGCGCGTGCGTGTTTTCTTTCTTATTAGAGAAGAATCAAGAGTCCGATTGGCGATATATAGTTTTGCCTCCTATACGGTTACAGCTTTGCAAATTTGCGAGACTCGGTTGATGAAATGGACGTTTTCGCGACACGCGGAATCATCTGTACGAAACACCGCTGTCTCCAGTCCACTCACTGCACTTGAGGCGGGATGTGTGGCCTATCCCTACTCTCGTGTCGCCCTCATTAGACCACTCGTTAGAGACCCCTCCTCCCGACCCACCTCCTCTCCCGCCAAGTATGACAGTCTTCCCTCGCGTGTTCTACGTCGTCATAAAAACAAACGTGCAAATTACGCCGCGACAATAAAGTTAAATACGATCTCCGCTTTCAAGTTTCAACTTTCACTGGTAGCAAAGGCCCTCCCGCACTCGTCCGAGATGGTCCGCGAGAACCATTGGGCATCGTGAGCGACATTATCCGCCTCAGATTGGGCAGTTTGATGTGTGGGTAGCGCTTGGACGGCTGAGGCGGCGAATGGGATTGGCATGCCAGAGGCAAGCTGGACCGGCGGCGCCGACCTTCAATTCGCGAGCTGCTGGAAGCTAACGCCCTATGTCCGACGGGCCAGTGCCCCTCCCCCCCTCCCCTCTCTTCTATCTGGCCCTGCTCCTTCCCTTCCCTGCCCACCCCTTCCCTCTCCCCTCCCCTTTCCCCCACTCCACCAACCAGGGCGCGGCCGTGAAAGAGCGCCGTGGCGCCGCCCGGCTGAGTGGCAGGCAAAGGAGGCAGACGCAGACGGCAACAAGGGAGTTGCGGACAACCCCAGCCAACTGCAATGGCTGTTTCCGGTCGCTAGCCGTCCCCCCACCACCATAGCCGGCCTGGGATCTTGCCACCTTGGGAACTGCAAATGAGGGGCATAAAACCCTATTTTTTCTGGTTTGGTCGCCCAGCTGGCGATTTTAACGTCACTGTTATTCATATCTAAGCACATTTGGTGTATACGTTTCATCGTTGTTTAATGTCAGTTCCTTCTAATTATAATTGCGAACCATAATAATTTTCTGGGGATTCTGGGGATGGCTGGCTGCAGTGTGTCAACATGCACCATTTCTTTGAATGTTTCTGCTTTCATTCTGGATTGTTTATTTCGTGATTTCGAATATTATTTACAATGCAGCGTCTCGTTTTGACCAAGGAAATGAAAAAGATAAAGTGTTCTGTGCCGGGGTGACGTGCTTTTGCTGTATCAGGTGATTGCAAGACCGTTTTCCACTTTCCATCTGACACAAACAGGTTAGTGTGTTTCTGTGGTAGGTGGTTATTGTAGAACACTTTCCTCTTTAAAGCTCTGTGCAAGAGTGTGGGAAATTCATGGACAGTAAAATGGACCAATATTAAATCTAAAGAAAGATGTTGAAATTCAAGAAAGCCTTCTATAGTTATAATAATTTTTTGCACCCCAACTCCACAGCACAAAGTTTTATAAGCGCTTGGAGTTTTGGGTTGAGCATTTCAAAAATGTTTCAACATACTATAACCCAAGAACGGTTTAAGTTACGAAGTATGTTTTTTCTTGACATGGTTTCTTATCAAGTACTTCAAGTTCCCTACATAAAAATATTTTTATCAGCAGTCTCTGAAGAAGTCAATAAATTCAGCCCTGTGTCCCCTTCAATTTATATATGTGTTATTTAGCATCATCATATACAATGCAGTGTGCTGGTTATGGTCCTTGGAAATGTAATCTTTAATGTTATAATCATAATTTGTGTGGGGCATATTAGATAAGCCATGACATTAATTATACTGTATTTAGTCCTCTTGAAATAAACTTTTAACTCTGATTGTTTTGAACAACTAATTTTACCTTACTTTCAAATTCTGTCAAGCTTTTCTTAATGTTTTGGTTCTGGTTTGCAGCTGTGGCTCCTCATGACCGGGAATAAACCTTTGCCAGTGCATCAACACCTAGGAGTACACCGTGTAGACCTGGAGCTACTCAAGCCATTATTCCTCATGTCAGTAAGAGTCCTGGTGACTCCCACACAGTCACTCCAGCCACAGCCAGTGTTACTCCACTAGCATCATTTCAGGTAACTGTAACTTTTTTAAATGTCCTATATTAATGAAGAGACGTAGAATGTGTAATAAAATTTTCTGTTTGCAGTTTCCAGCCAGAAGAAAAGTTCTTGCAAACTGGCAGCCATCACCCTTGCCTTCTTCTCCTGGAAGAGTAGGCTGCACTATTTGTCTCAGAATTCTTACACTTCTGTTGTGGCCGCAGTTTCTAGAACTTGCCGAAACTGGAAAGGTGAGTTGTTTCATATGTGTATTTAAATAATTATAAAATAATTTCTTTAACTTTTCAACTAGAGGACCTTTCAATTATGTTTACTAACTGTTCTGTAACCTTTTATAATTTCAGATTCATTCCTTCACAAGTCCCTCAGCTCCAAGATTTTTCGAGGTCCAAAAGGCATTTCGCTTCTTTAGATTTTGTGCAATGATTGTAATAATGTATTATTATGGAATATGTCATTTTGTAAATTCTATTATGTTACATATTTTATATTCATGTTTTTGTGGTTTATAATTCTGGAATACATTTGAGTTATCTTATCTATGTACTTTAACTTTGAAATTCAAACCCATCTTCCTCTATCTTTTATGGAACGACCACACTGATCAACAAAAAATATCCCACATGTGGAGCCTGCCCCGCCCGATACGGCGACATTCATTGTCCGTAGGTTGGCAGTATCCGAGGCCGGCTCCGTGACGTCACGGCAACAAGCGACTCGGCCGTAACACGGCAGTTGGCTGGGGTTGGTTGCGGAGACTTTCGGACGAAGGTTAAATTTATCAAGTCGAATCCGTCAATTTGCACAGGTATTCCACCATGCCCGCGAATATCCGAATTCTGTTTGATAACCACTACGCAACATTCTACGCTGGTCAGACTGTCACTGGCCGGGTTATCGTGACTGTGGACAAACCCAAGAAATTGAGAGGTGGGTGTTTATGATAACCTCGAAATTCCTTAAGAGATCAGTAAGTTTTGCCTCCATGTCAAACGATTCCATCGATTGACACTGCTTTAAACGTGTTCTGTTTGTGAGGAGGGGTCCAGAATTTTGCATTTAGATGATTTTTGATAACTGTAAATATACTGTTGATGGTTGAATCTATTACAATAATCCTAGTTGTTGTATAAGTTAATTAAGTGGATTTTTGTTTACTGCTAGCAATCACTATCAACTTTAAAGGAGAAGCAGAAGTGAAATGGACTGAAACAGAGAGAAAGAAGGATTCCCAAGGCAAAGATTATGACGATCAAGTGATTTATAAAGCTACTGAAACATACTACGAGAACAAATACCATCTGCTGGGCAGCGAGAGTGGTGAGATTCCTAGATTTGGGATTTTTACATATAATTTTTCTTACCAGTGCAAAAAATTAATTTCTTTTTGAAATTTTTGAATTTAATTTTTAGGTGAGATCGAGTTGAATCCTGGTGAATACTCTTACCCATTCACATGTCAGATTCCTATCTCTGTTCCCTCCTCCTTTGAGGGTGAACATGGTTATATCCGTTACACCGTGAAGGCAACTTTGGATAGACCATGGAAATTTGATCAAGAATCTAAGGCTGCTTTCACTGTTGTAGCACCTCTTGATCTAAACACGCTACCTCAAGCAAAAGTAAGCCTTTTCCAGGAACTTTGTTCTGTATATTTTCTCTGCATTACGTATTGTGATACACTTGTTCTTAAATTTCAGGAACCAATAGAATTTGAAAAAGTCAAAAATTTTTGTTGTCTGTGGTGCAAGTCTGGACCTCTCACCCTAACTGTAAAGGTGCCTGCCGGTGGCTTTGTTCCTGGTCAAACTATTCCATTTCAGGTAGAAATTGAAAATGGAAGTAACATCCGTGTCCGCCCTATCAATTGTGTTCTTCGAAAGGTAAAAAAGAAACAATAATGAAAACGATATGGAGTAGGTGAGATTTGATATCAAGTTTTATTTCATATTTTAGGAGGTTACATGGCATGCAAGAGATCCCATTCACAAGACTCAAAAAACCAAAACTACTTTGGGGGAACTAGCTGTTGATGATGAAGTGAAGCCTCATGAATCTAAATCTTTCTCAAAAGACATTATTGTACCTGCTATACCACCCTCAAACCTGGCTAATTGCGGAATAATTGATTTAGAATATATTCTGAAGGTAAAATTTGAGCCTTTGACATTGTTGAAATATGGTTTGTGCATATTTGTTAACTTTCCCTTTCTTATTTTATTTTTAGATTGAAGCAGTTGTCTCAGGATTCCACAAAAATGTCAGTGCTCGCATTCCTGTAGTTATGGGTACCATACCTTTGCTGACTGGACCAACAGCATACAAGCCTGGTGGCACTGCTGTTGTTCAGCCCGGCCAACCTTCACCAAATCCAGCTTCTCCTGCAAAGCCTGCACAGCTTCCATCACCAACCCTCGGCCTAGTCCCCATCCCTACTCCATCCCTATCGCCTGCTCCTGCTCCTGCTCCTGCTCCTGCTCCTGGATCCCAAGTTGGTGGTGGATGGAATCTGCCACCTGCTGCAGCACCTAGCACTCCCCCATCAACCAATCCGTCTACTGCACCCAGTGCTCCTCCACTGTACCCTCAGCTACGTATGTACTGCATTGCTGAATTAATCGTGATTTTTCATTAATTGTTTTCTGTACTCTTCAAAAAAAAACTACTAAATTATTTCGATTGCAGCTCCTCCAAGCTATGAGGAAAGCATCTGGAAAGGAAACAGTATCAAGGATTCAACTGACAATGAGCACACAATGGGCATCCAAGATTTTACACCACGCTATCCAGTCTGGACCTTTGACCCTGTTGCCCCACCAGCAGCGCAAGCGCCGTAATTGATTTGCAAAAGAATCAAGATATTTTTTGTCTATTTGTATGCAGCTAAAATGCTCATTGAGAAGGACAATAATTTTTTGCCTATGCTTTCATACGTCTATTGACACTTCTTTAATTTGTTGTTCAATATCCTAAGATATTTAAAGAGAAAGGATCTTGAATTTGTATTCATTAAATGACAGTATAGTAATTTAACATTTCAAGTATTTAGATTTTATATTTTTTATGTCCATGGTTTTTGAGGTATTTTAGCAATTTATGCTTGATATCAAGTTTTATGTTTTGAACAATGGCTGCTTAAACATAGTTATGTTCTTTATCTGTCCTTGTCTTTCTAATGCTTTGAAAATTTTGCTCTCCAGGAATGCAATGGACATAACTCTTTGTAGATTGACTTTGTTATGCTTTCTTAATTCATTTTTACATTACCAATTTTTTTGATGTGAACTGTTATGTTTTCATGTGCATGTGGTTTTGACCAATCGTTTTATTACCTAAAATATTGTTTATATATTTATTTTTTTCTGTATTGTTTGAAAAGTTATAGTACCGTCCAAAGCTCAATTTTTTAAGTCTGTATCTTAATGGAATCTCTATTATTTTTGTTACCTAAATACCTTTGAATGTCAGTACTGTAATTCTGAGCTGCCTAATTTTATTGTGAATCTCTGTTATCTTGATCAACTTTAGTTTCGAATCTTAAAAGACTGTTCACCAACTTCTTATTGTCCGCTTTGGATTGAACGAGTAATTTTTTGGTCAAATACAATTGTTTTTAAAATGATTCTTTTATTTATCTGTTTTAGAAGTACATGTTGCACAGAGGAGTTAAAAGCAAAGAAAATAAGAATTCCCCACTCTTTGAGATTGATCACAATGTTCATTGATTTGGGCCAACTTCCTTGTCAGAGTGACTGGCATCAGATTCAGCAGCATTAGGAGACACCCCATTAAGTAATCGACTGAGACGTTTACCAATTAATTTAGGATATGTTCTGGTCTTAATCAAATACTCTTTGCTTTGATGTGTCACTGCTCCATGATCTAATTGGAAATCACATAATGCCTTTAAGGGTTTCAAAAGTGTTTCTCGTATAACTTCCCTATTTTCTAGAATGGTCAGCGCTAAAGCAGCAGTTTCTAATGTAGAGAGGCAGCCTTCTGTTGGTTGAGTACGTATCACATATTCACTGGTACCTGTAGTTAACAACTTCACCTAAAGAAAGGTAACAGAGATTGAAATGATGATAAAATTGAAAGTTAGTACAGTTTTAAGTGTATTCCAATAGCTCACTTGTTTCATTGAATGCAGGAGGGGGCTGCTATGATATATCGCTTTAGCTTGAGGCCAAGTTCCATCCAAGAGAAATAAATTATAAGAATCATAACCACCTGACGCTAGTTTTGGCAAATCACTCAAATCAACTGATTGAGGTGATGGGTAGAGTAAGACTGAATTGGGTGCATGCATGAGATCCTCTAAGCCCGTATGCCTGTAGAAGAGAAAATTAAGATTAGTTTAGAACTAACTCTTAGCTAAACATCAGTTATATTACCTCTGTTGAGGAAATTTTTTGCCCTTGTAAACATGACAGAGACCCGGTGCTAGTCCCAGGGAAAGCATTGGTACAGTCCTCAAGCAACGCTTTTCTTCAGCTGGGTGTTGAAGAATGACAATACAGCACTTAGTTACCAGGGGTGTCGCAGGAAGATATGAGCACCAACAAACTAGTTTAGGTCTCCTGAAACCAACACAGAAATAAAAATGAAGACCAAGTGGATCAAGTGTTAACGCTCTAATAAACACCATGACGAGGAACTTTAACATTATCTAAGGATCTTTAAATGACTTACGTGCAGTTTTCACATAGTTCCCTCATAGATGGTGGGTCTGCTGGTATCCCAACCAAGTCTTCCCATACTTCTTGAAAGTCTTCGGACATAGTTCGGATTTCAAAAAAATCAATTTTTCTGAGAATGCTCAACAAAGGCTCGTTGGGTCGAAATAGACCGGTACTGAACTAATTAGAACTCATCACATATTGCTTTAATGCAGGGCAAGAACTTCGTGGTTATGTTGTTGTATGTGTTGACTACCACGCTGATGAGAAAGCAGACAAAATAGCAGACGACACTAAAAAGATAACAAAAAATCGACACAAACGCTGAAAAGCCTAAGACATTTGTAAAAAGAAAGAAATACCTTGGAATTAAGATCCATCATAAAATATACTGTGATTTATTATAATGCTTCTTTCGTGACTGTAAACAAACTAACAAACAAACAAACCAAAATCAAATGTTGGTCAACCTCTACTCCCAATCCCCCTGAACAACAGACCAACTTCTAAATATGTGTTCAGCTAAATTCTACTCAATGTATCAAATATTCGCCCCATAAATAATGAAAGTATTGAAAGAAACGGAACATAAATCATGTTAATTTGCACTTTATTAGATTTGGTGTAGCTATTTGACTTCTTTTTAGTTAATGTTTTTCTTTGAAGAAAGTGGCCAGCCATGGTAAACAGAAATTTTTCATTTCAGAGTTGCCGATTGTCATTTAGGAGGTCCCGGTCTGTCAAATGGTTAAATTTTTCTGGAGTTTTAGATGTTGTTTAATTGAAAACTAATTGAAGACCAATGGATTTTAACCCCAAAAAACATGCTCGATACTTCCTCCGTCTTTTAAATATTCTCCCCAGCCATGCAAGTAATTATGATTCTACAAGGTACAGTGATTTTATAAGTTGACTATTTCCATTGGTTGCAATAACCTAGTTGCACTATTTTGATTTATCTCTGACAATTTCAGGCTGCTTCTGTGCTTTTTTGCGGTTTCTGGACTAGACCTCCTTGATGCACTGGATCAGTTAACACCAGAGAAGAAGGAACATATCCGAGAATGGGTTTATCATTTACTTATTCAAGCCAAAGAGTCAGGTTTGTTTGTTTGTATTACCTTTTGTCATAAAATATGGCCTTTAACTTACTGGTTTTTAAATGTGCATGAATTCAGATGGCGATGATGAAGTGGCACGCTGGGGCTTCCAAGGAGCTAGTACTTTGATACTACCCCCTGCGACAGGTGTGATAGATAACTCTGAGCCCTATGCATGTGGACATGTCAGCATGACATACACAGGTCTAGGCACCCTGTTAATTTTGGGAGACGATCTGTCCCGGGTCAATAGGAAAGTTGTAGCAGCAGGTGTACGAGCATGCCAGCAGTCTGATGGAAGGTATAAATTATAAAAGTGGAACCATAAATCCTTCATTGACTTGTGTTTTTCTCACTTTATTTTAATGTTTTTTGTAGTTTCTGTGCCACATTAGCTGGCAGTGAATGTGACATGCGTTTTGTATATTCTGCTGCTGCAGTGTGCTATATACTACAGGACTGGAGTGGTATGGATGTTGGTCTAACGACCAACTACATTATGCAAAGCTTAGTGAGTCACAATTTTTTTCAACTGCTACCTGGTTTCACAATGATTTTTCTTATTAATCATGATGATATTTTTCAGTCTTATGATAATGCATTTGCACAAGGACCTGGATTAGAATCACATGGTGGTCATACATTTTGTGCTGTAGCTAGCCTCTCACTTATGGGAACACTGCATACAATGCTTTCCACCAGACAGGTATAATGCTTTAATTTATTGAATCCTATACTGAGAGGAAACTTAGTTACCAACATAAAAGTACAAGACAATTTAATTCCTTTTGTAGCTTGATGGCCTACGCCGTTGGTGTATGATGCGCCAAGAATCTGGTTTTAATGGCAGGCCAAACAAACCTGTGGACACATGTTATTCATTTTGGGTGGGAGCAACTTTAAAGGTCTGAGTAAATGAAGGCATTCTTCGTTTTAAAATGTGTATTATTGATATTTCTAATGATAACTGTTTGTGCTCGTAGATCCTAGATTGCTACGATCTAATCAATAAATCAGAAAATCGGAGCTTTACTCTAGCCACTCAAGATAATATTACTGGAGGATTTGCAAAATGGACAAGTACTGATGTTGAACCACTCCACACCTACTTTGGTATGTAAACAGATACAACATACACAGACCTACTCTCATCATTATGGAAAGTTGTACTATCTGTCTTTCTTCTCTTGCAGCTCTTGCTGGATTAAGTTTACTAAAAGAACCTGGACTGATAGAAATCCATCCAGAACTAAATTTAAGTCAACGCACAGTAGAACACCTTCATAAATTACATGAACAGTGGACATGCAATTAACCATGCCATATCTCTTTTAAAACATACCATTAAACTTTCAATGTTATGTGCATATCATTTGTGATATTTGTCTTTTGAAGGTAAAAAGACAACCCTTAAGAATTTATGAATTTATTTTAGATGTTTTATCTAGCTGGTTCTAAAAAGAAACTTTGCACAAAACTACTATAAATTATAGATTTTTTGTAGCACAAAAGGATTATTTGACGAATTGTAAATTCTATGCTATTTTTCTACATCCATATTTTATGAAATAAGATTACTCTTTCTCCACCATTGGTAGTGTAGTATGATCAAAACTGTATGTATCATATACTTGATATGTAAGTTATTTTAAAGCAACTGTAAAGCACAAATCATGTACCTGGGTTACTTGTGACATAACACTGACAGATCGATTTTATATGTACTTGTTGAAAAAAAGTCATTTGTTAATTTGTTTGTCATATGAGTGTAATAAAGAGGAGAACATAATTATCTAACCGAACTTGTGTTCACGCTTTGTATTTAGATTTTCCCAATCCAAGTCGTGGCACAGTTAAATGAAAACTGGATAATAAACGCCCCACGCCCCGAGGTAACACGAGGTAATGCTTAAGTTTCCACGCTTGGGATCGGGCACTCTGGGTGGGCCGCCCTCTCCACACAGGTGCCTCGCGGGTTGGCCTACCCAGCGCTTCGCAGGCGCTATCATTACCGTCGCCCCGGGAAACGTTTGTGGCGCCAAGTGCAAGTCGGCTCAGATGACTTTTGATAAGATTTGTTTATTGGCGGATGGTAGAGTATATCAGGGCCTGCTCACTCTGGCCTTCTTAAAGTTTCAGGGTTCTGTCTACGTCTCTCTCGCACCAGGCCAGAGGAGGGCACCTAGGTTGGCGACAGTAGCTCTTCACCAACTCTGCAGATCATGTCCATCTGATCTGGCAACGTCCTTCCTGAGTCACCACGAGCTCTCCCAGCGGCCTTGCCCTTGCGTCATGTGGCACGACTCTGCCTCGGGTCAGCGTCAGCAGGTACTGATCTGCGTCCGGATACGCGGGTGTCTTGGGTGTCTGCACCCACGTATCTGGACGATGCTACTGACTCATGCTCACGCGTCGAGCTGAGACACGCCATGGGTTACCCGATAAGCCTTCGGCCGTTTCAGAGACGCCCGGCCGCCGGTTGGTGCTAAATTCAGTTCGTATACGCTTGGGTCTGAGCGCGGGAGTAGCTCCGGTACATCGCCTCCCCCCAGGGCTCTGAAAACGAAGCATCCAAGGTAAAACACAATCATCAAAAACTCGCAAATGACCCTCATTTGAAGTCAAAATTAGCTCAATCTGGCTGGCGTCAGTAAATCTTGACGATGAGCGACAAAATGAGGTCATTGTGACATCATTTTTACTAACGTTCGTTCTACCTGGGGAATGCCCGCCTGCTCATTCATGTCAAGAGCACCCCTTATCTTTGGCGCGAGTAATATCGCGACTATCTCCGAGTTACGCCTGCCATGGTCAGTTAGTGCGCGCCGGCGCCGAGGAGGTGAGGTGTTTGCTCCCTCCGCCAGCGCCCCAAAACCAAAACAGTGCCTTGGTCTCACCACCCTACTCTACCCTCCTCCAGCCGGGACGCACCTCGCCACGATGCCTGTCATCCTGCGCATCAGCTTCGACCGACCGTACGCCGCGTACTACGGCGGGGAGACGGTGACTGGGCGGGTCGACATGCAAGTTGACAAGCCAACACAAATCAGAGGTAAGTCCGGCCCGGGCACCCCCTGCTAGCGGCCCACAGAGTGTACGGCAGCTTACTCACCCTGGCCGTGCGCAGCCGTGACGATCACCTTCCGAGGCGAGGCCAGCGTGCACTGGACCGAGACCAAGTCCAAAAGCAGCGGCACCGGCAGCTCAACCGAAACAGTCACATACTCGGCGAGTGAGATCTACTTCAGCAACAAGGTCTACTTTGTGGGCGGCGACTCGGGCGATATCACCCTCAGTCCCGGGGACTACGTGTACGCCTTCCAGTGCCTCCTGCCGCCCACGCTGCCCAACTCCTTCGAGGGCGTGCACGGCCACATCCGGTACACGACCAAGGCGGTCGTACACCGGCCGTGGAAGTTCGACCACGGGGCCCGGGCGGCGTTCACCGTGGTTGCACCCCTAGACCTGAACATGTACCCGCAAGCCAGGGTAAGTCCAGTGCGACAATGAAATCCGACGAACAGTACTTTTGACATCTTCTAAACTCTTATGAAACCCCTGATAAACTCCCACTTAATCCTCTCAACTGCAACGAGATCCCTCCATAATCATGATGATCTTATGGAATCTTTGTAAAACTTTAATCTTCACACTTTTGATGCTGCTATCAGGCGCCAATCGAAAGGGAGCAGAGCAAACACTTTTGCTGTCTATGGTGCAAGTCAGGCCCCCTTACCATGAGCGTCAGAGTGCCACACGGAGGCTACGTCCCTGGACAAACCATCCTCCTTCAGATCCAGATCGACAACGCAAGCACAACTAATGTGCGAAATTTACGAGGCACCCTGAACCAGGTAAAATGATGTGAAGCTAAAAATGAAGCAAAAAGTCAAGAAAGAATCCTAATTGTTCCGCCACAATGAACATCCTGCGAGTCGACGTAATGGAACGCTGGGCGTCTAACGTTATCTTACCCGCCCTGCACGCGGGCGCTCTGGGCGGGCCTCCAGCTCCACACAGCTGCCTGGCGGGTTGGCCCACCCCGCGCGCAGCAGGCGCTACCACTAACGTCGTCGAATCGTGACACGTTCGTTGTGGAGACTCCTCAACGCGAGTCTCACAGATTACTGCACGTGTGCGCAGGTCGTGAGGTGGAACGCCACCTCCAAGACGAAGGTGACGGAGGGGAGGATGGTGGACCTGGTGTTCGACAGGGAGGTGAAGGCCAACGACTCAAAGGTCTTCTCGCAGATGATCAACGTACCGCCTGTGCCTCCGTCAAACCTCAACAACTGCAGGATCATTGACTTGGAATACCTCCTGACGGTGAGGGTGACGCGGTGACGTGGCGAAGTGGCGCCGTGGCAGGGAGAAGCGAGGCGCCTGCTCAAGACAACAACTAACCACGAACTCTTCCCACAGGTTACGGCTAGAGTCGGTGGCGCCCACCTGAACCTGGAGATCAAGGCCCCCCTCCTGATCGGCACGTTCCCGGTGGTAATAGCGGATCTCTCTCCAGCCTACCCGTACCCGGGCGGGCCGAGCCCGAGTGCTCCGCCGGGCAGCCCCTCACCCGACCTCCGTAAGTGTACGGCGCAGAACTGAAAGTACCATATGAGACTGGGCTAAAAGAATGGGTTTGTATCGGGCAAAGGATCTGAAACCAACATAGTACAAACGAATTTTCATCGTAAAGAGCACCACTTTGTTAACAGACACGTGTTCTTTAGTTCTTTGTATTATGATGGTGCCAAATCCTTTGCACGTTACAAAGACCAGTTCGTCGTAGCAAACTTACAAGTGCAACAAGAAAGCTAACATTATGTTATTATTTCCACAATCATCTACTTTTGCAGCCCCCCCAAGTTACGAGGAGTGTTTCTTCAAGGGAAACAGCATTATGGACGCAAAGGATGGCGACAACGAGTACACCATGGGGATCCACAACTTCACCCCCCGGTATCCGGTGTGGAACCTGATCAGCCCGCCACAAATTCTAGACTAGATATTATGAGGCGATGGTTTATGTAAATAAAAGTGCCTACATACGGGTCGGTGTCGATACCGGGTGTAACAGAGGAGTATGCGGACTTGTTACCCCCAACCCTTGCGGCCATGACCGGCAGAGTAGGAAAGCCTGTACAGCCACGCCTCTTCTGTTATGAGAACCGGAAGAAGTTTGTACACGACCTTTCACTTTCTGACGCTGTTACCCACGCTACAGCCTTGACCCGATGGATTACAGTTGATTTAAGGGACCCGTGAAAACCCTGGAAAAAGTGGTTTATTTTTTATTTTATAAAATTCAAAGATCCTTCCTTTTATACAGTAAATGTCGCAAACCTGGTGTTGAAATTCGGAAAATTGCGCCTAGTAGACAATAAAACGTTCTGCGATGATCGCCGATTTCGGACGCTTCGCATCCCCTTCCTGGCCATCGCACTTACGGCTTTCGCGCTTGTGGCGAGTCACCCTTTTGGCAAGAGGTCGACAACTCGTCTTCTCCTGGAATGCAATAATTGGAAAGCTCACAGTGATCTTACGTGAAAAACAGGGACCTGCGTAGGGCGGGCGGCATTGGACACCTCTCAGCGAGCGCTTGGATTCCACCGGCGAGGTGCCCGTGCGATCCAAGCGCTGCCACAAGCTGCCACCGCAACGGCCGGCCAAACGACGGGCACCTCCGGGCACCTCTCAGAAGCGGCGAAACGCGTTGGTGCGTGAGAGACGCACAGCTAGCGGGCAGCAAGAGCCCACGGGCACCTCGCTGCCCGCCGGGCAGGGCAGGGCGCTCCGGGCGAGCAGTGGTCACTTTTTCATGCGCGCAGAGCGAGGTGCCCGGATAGTGCCCGCCCTACGCAGGGTCCCTGGTGAAAACTTTCTCAGAACGCCCCCCCCCCCCACCCCCGCCCCCAATTTCCAGCGGTTTAGAAGAAGGTGGTCTAGAAAGCTCAATCTTGAATCACTCCACTTACTTCGAGCGTCCTCCGCGTCCGAGTGTACTCCCCGACTGTGCTTCGCGCACTCCGACTGTACTCCTGTGTACACAATATAGCCGAGGTGTCGAACCCTCACTCTTTGATCCACTTCGTCCTTCGACCGTGTCTTGAGTAACAGCAAACCGCAGCAAACATTCGCGGCCCCGGGACTGAGCTGGGCTCGGCCCGCCTCGGGGGCCGCCGGGGGCCGCCCCACCACAGAAGACCGAAGTCCATTCGCGACTGGCCTGCCGGCCGGAGCTTTTTTCCTCTCCCCTGCTTAGCGATTGCCATTTTTCCTGTTTGCCAAATCGCGCCCCACGCCAACCCCACCTTTCGGCCCCGTGATCCGTGATCCCCCATATATCCGTCGCAGACAAGATATCGCCTTATCCGCAGTTCAAGTCGTGTAACTATCACCTGCCCATGGTCATTTAGCCGGCGAGTGCCGAACCACCCGAACACAAGAAGAGTCCGCCCTGCAGTGCAGCCCTACTCTCCGCCGCCATGCCCATCAACCTCCGGGTCAGGTTCGACCGGCCGCAGCCCACGTACTACGCGGGAGAGACGGTGACCGGGCACGTCCTGGTGCACGTCGACGAGCCCACGCCGGTAAGAGGTGAGTACGGCGTGGCCTCGCAGCTCCGTAGCAACAGCAACGCCATTCGCCGTTACGAGACTTGCCACCTCCCATAGCGCCTGATAGGTAGGCAACATCTTGCCTTCAGCGCATGCGTGTGCCGCGGGATGGCCTATCCCGAGTCTCGCAGGCGCCCATCTTCCGTTATGCCCGTTATACAGAATCGAAATGGGTGATCTGCGCCGTCCCCTTTTTTCCTGTTTGGTGTACTGTACCGGGTGTCCAGGCTAAGACATGCCAGTACGTTGGGTTGCCTATGGACGGGCTGCAGGGGCTGCAGGAGCGGGCGGGTAGCGGGGGAGTGGTCGGGGAGCTGCCACTTCCCCGCCACCCGTCCCGCGCCTGCAGCCCCCGCAGCCAGTCCATAGGCAACCCAACGTACTGGCATGTCTTAGCCTGGACACCTGGTACCAGATTCATACGTGCGAGTCGGTTGCATATTCGCACGGGGCCACGAGATGCCAGGGCGAGCGACATTTGGCAAGTACGCCCACACCACGGTTAAAAATGCTGTAAGGAGGTACGGTTCGACTACAGTCCGTCCTGTATATTCTATGTACAGGCCAGACTGTAATGATATAGGCTGTACTTCAGTGTCGAAGTCAAGTGCTGTATTAACCAAAAAGGCGGTTTGCGAAGTTACAGTACATTCTGTACGGAGTGGACTGTAATCAAAATTTACAGTCGCTGGCCTAGTGACAAATTGACAGGGTAGGTCCTGTAGGGTTTTTTTAACAGTGACGCGCCAGCACAGGGTACAGTAACCAGAAAAAATGACGGCGCAGAATAAGTGTGAAAAAATAACATACGAACTTTCTGGATGATCCCTGATTTGCGGGTACTTGACTGACCTTTTGTCTTCCATGCTTTCTTTTTTACAGCCATCCGGATCCACATCAAGGGAGAGGCCAGAGTGCAATTTGTCAGCAACCGCCATGGCTTAAACTTGTGTAAGCGAAAAGTCAGAATGTTGAGGAGGTACCGGGTGATTCAGAGCACGCGCCACCGTGTTGCGGGTTTGCCTATCCTCGACTCGGCGGGCGCACGGGTGAGAGGTCAGGAGCGGACCCCTCTTCGCCTTACCTCTCACCCGTGCGCCCGCCGAGTCGACACTCAGAAAAAAAATACATTTGCAGCTAAAACATTAGCTGTATATGGACAGCTAACTTTTGGAGCTACGCAGCTAAAAGTTAGCATGGTAGCTCCACCGCTTTGCTCTAGAGCTATTGTGTTAGTAGTACAGCTAACTTTTTGCTGTATAGCTCCGAAAATTAGCTGTCCACATACAGCTAATGTTTTAGCCTACAACGCAAATGCTTTGCAAGCTACAGCGCAAATGCTTCGGAAGCTACAAACAGAATCGTTCGTATAACGACCAAATCGTTCGTATTACGAAGCATATTGTTTATAATTACGAACGAAGCATTAGTTCGTAGGGTTTTAACAGTGCAGGTGAGATTAATCAGAGTTCTTTTTCCGTTTTGTTTTTTTGACGTGAATAACCCTAGTTCGCATCAAAGCCAAGGGACACAAGAAGCACCTTAACGTCAAAAGTTGCCTTGTCGGGGGTGACTCGGGCGAGGTCATGCTCAACCCCGGGGAGAATGAGTACCCCTTCCAGTGTCTCCTGCCGCACACGCTGCCCAGCTCCTTCGTGGGCAAGCACGGCTACATCAGCTACACGGCCACGGGGGTTTTGCAGCGGCCGAGGGGGTCCGGTCAGAAGGGGGCAATCGGCTTCTGCGTGGTCGAGCCCGTGGACCTCAACGCGTTACCCAAGTCGACGGTACGGCAGGACCATCATCAGCTGCCCGTTGTATTTCTAAGACAAGTGATGAACAACGTGCGCTTACATTCTTACCAGGAGCCTATCGAGATGAAAAACGACAAATTCTTCTGGTGCTTGTGGAACAAATCAGGGCCACTTACAATGCAGCTTAGAGCGCCGAGGGGAGGCTACACTCCTGGGCAGACCATTCCCTTCCAGATTCAGGTCGACAACGCAAGCACCTATGAAGTGCGCAAAGTACGGGTCACTCTGCAACAGGTAATTGTCAAAATCTAAACTAAAACATGAGATTTTGACCGGGGCATCGTCGTATTGTAACAAAATATTCGTTAGCCTATATTTTTACGTTCCTCGTTACGTTACGATAGTAATATATATTACTAATTTCTACTGTCTAACTGGGTGCAGTTCGTCAGTTGGTATGCTGAATGCGAGAACACATACAGTGATGAGAAACTAGTGGATATAGATCTCGTCGACAGTCAGGTGATCGGCCAAGACTCCAAGGTCTTCTCACATATGATCACCGTCCCACCGACACCACCGTCCTACCAAAACAACAAGTGCGAACTCGTCAAGTGGAAGTACTACCTACGGGTAAGACTTCATTTTATCGACGTTTCCTCCAGGCTTGTCTGACGCTAGATCAGCACCCAACTGACCGGGCCCTCTCTGCAGGTCTGCGCGGTGGTCGGCCGCGGCCACTTCAACCTGAATATCAGCGCACCCCTGCTGATCGGCACCACCCCGGTGGGCTATCAGGACGGACAAACTGGCATCCCTCACTCCAACGACTCAGTTCCGAGAGGTTCACCATGGACGTCGACCGACGAACTTCTCACTAAATAGTTCCACCACAGACCTCTGGCCCGCGATGACTTGTTAACGTTTAAAACGATGATTTCATATAATAAACATAACTCTGGATCACAGCTTGACGTTTCATGCCACTTTTTGCTGACCACTGCAAGCAAAAA